AGAATATTTGAGAGTACAAAATATGTGTTATAAAGGATAGCTATAATTCTTTGGGAGAAGACAAAATTTTAATTCTTCTGGTGCTTAAAAATTGGGAAATAAATAGAAAACAGAACCTATAATGCACTGCAAGGATAAATCTTAGGCTAACACGTGAAAGTGATAAGATAGGGGTTTTTAAACTTACATTGTGATATCTTTTGATATTTTCTTGGGTAATTGTACTTGATAGATACACGATAAAAAATTGTTACCATATTTTTAGTATTACCATATCATAAGAAATTTTATTAAATGAAAGTTTTATTTTATGTCTTCAGTATTTAGATATATTTTTAAATCTTTTTATCAATTTTTAAAATCAGAAAATAAGTATACACTAAGATGGAGCACCTGAATACATTTTTAGGGTTATTGGTTGTAAAACTAATCTATATATCATATGCTTGGTGTACAAAGTACTATGAAAACATAAACAAGTAGATGTCTGTTATTATTTGGTACTATCATCTGCATACTCACATTTGATGACTGGAGAAGGTCACCTATTTGTCAGAAACTGCCATTTGGGTCTGGGGTTTTTGAATAATACATTTTGTGTAAAAATAGCCCTCAATGAAAAACAATACTAATTAGAATGAATATACACTTACATTTTCCACTGTATGAAAAAGAGAAAGCAAATTAATTTCACAGAACCTAGTAAACTTTAAACCAAAAAAAATAAAAAACCCAGTTCTTTTCTCCAAATGAATTCTTCCTCTGAATCTCAAATGAATCTTTCCCAGAAATCCTTGTTTATAAAAAGAACTAGCATTTTTATAATCATCTGCAATTGCATTTTTTTCCTTTTTTTTTTTAACTGCTGTTTTTTTTGGTGGTTTAGAGTGGGGTGGGGTTTTTTTGGGTTTTTTTTTTTTTGGTTGGTTTTTTGCTTTGTTTAGGGATTTGTTGGTTGGTTGGTTGATTGATTTTTGGGGGTTTTTTGGTTTTTAATCTTTCATGGAATTTTTATGGAGAATGCACACAAATAGTGAAAAACTTCCAGGAAGGTTTCTGATTTAATATCGTTAAAAATCTCTCCAAATGCTATGCAAATCCAACTCGATATAATTTGAGGTTAACTTGCTGTAACTATACCTATAGTTAGTTACAGTTTGCCCCTTTTTTTTGCTTTCTTGGGGTTTTTGTTTGTTTGTTTGTTTGTTTTTTGTTGTTCTTTTCTTTTCTTTTCTTTTCTTTTCTTTTCTTTTCTTTTCTTTTCTTTTCTTTTCTTTTCTTTTCTTTTCTTTTCTTTTCTTTTCTTTTCTTTTCTTTTCTTTTCTTTTCTTTTCTTTTCTTTTCTTTTCTTTTGCTATTTCAAGTACAGGGTTTTTTTGATTAGCAGCTGTAGCTAGCTTTCAGTTTTGTCCATGAACTCTGTATGAGGGTTGAAGTAGCATACAGTTTTAATGCCACTTCAGGGGATTCTTTCATTCTCAATGAAGGAAATAAAAGAACAGATTCTTCTCTTTTCCATGTGGCCACTTACCAGGTATATTTAGAGAATGAAGGATCCTTTCAGGATTTGTAGATGAATGAGGTAGAAATTTCCAGCCAGCTGAATTTTTGTACTCTTCTATTTGGCAAAGAAGGACTTAGGTCAGCTCCAGGGCCCACAGGTTAAAAATTTGAGGAACATTAAAGGGTATATCATTGATTTCTACAGTGCACTTCTGTGAAGATAAAGACTTCAGATGCATACCGCTTTCAGCATATCCCCTTAGTATGATGTGGCAAATTTCACACAGCATAACATGGAGACAATCATCATACAAAATAAGACACATACACAAGTTGTTCAGTAAACTTTCAGCTGTAGTTTTGCGGAGTTGTTGGGAAGCCTCTGAATAATAAGCAAAATGTCAGTAATAGAAAATATTATATTATCAGTCTGTAAATTTTGGAATTTTAAAAGCATGATCAATATTTTCTGGCATGCTATATAACTAAGTGGAAGAGAAATCATATTCTCTCTATTACCATGTGATGCAAACACAAGGTCCAAAGGGAACCTGGGCCTAGAATGAGCCTGAAAACCATCTGTAAACAACCAGGTGAAAGTGTTTTGTGATTTTAAACTGAAGCTGCATTTACATGAGTGCAATTTTCTTGTGTAAAATTCTGTAAGTCTCTCCTACTGATGTAGAGGTTTCCTTGGAAAGACAGCACAGTTGTCATGATGCAGACATCTACTGCTCTTTAAAACATCCTGGATTATTTGAGAAATTCAGGACTGGTAACAGTGACACCAGAATGTTCTCTGAATTTTAACAGTGGGGTGGGATTCCTTGCCTCAATGGAGATACTGAATTCTGGTCTTCACAGAAAGATGATTTTACATGACCTTGATGGATGTCTGCTATTGCAGTCAATGCATTCAAGAGTACAGTTCAGCTTCCCAGAAGAGGTTGCAGGGAGAGTAGAGTATCTAATAGGCTTTAGTGATTATTTTGGCTAGAAACTTAACTCAGGTTCCAACACATAGGTATCACAAACTGTTTCAGATACTTAATTTGGGACTGACATTCACAATGGTTTTGTATTTACACCTAGGACCAGTTTTGCAAGAATGGAAGGAGTAATTGAGCTTCCATCAGTTTTTCTTATCATCATTGCTTTCTCATAGTGACTACGCTTTGACTTTCTTTCATTGATGAATTAGGCTGTTGTTTATCAGTATACAAATCTTCACACACAGATCATTTAATATTATCTAAATATGTTCATCTTATTACATAATTTAATACAGAAATTTTAAAGAGAATTCTAAGATGGATGTCAAATAACATCCCTCAAAAAAGTATAAGACATTATTTTTTTGAAGATACCAACATATTCAATGACTATGCTTTTTAGTATTGGTGGAATTGATTCTGTCTTCTAATCTAAAACATGCATTTTCATGTCCAAATGCAACATTTTCAGCATTTTGCCAGGAGGTCACCTCCACTGAATTAAGGCCATTTAATAAACCAAAAATTAAATAAAAAGGAATAATGTGTTGTAGTAAAAAGCTTTATATTCAGTAAGATAACAACTGTACTGCATGTACTCCTTCTTAAATTGCTTGTTCCTGTCCTCCAGAGGTCACCTGTAAGTAGTCTAGCAATAATATTCTAAACTTCATACTTTGTTTCCTTAATAACTACCAGTGTACATATTTTTCTATGCTGATATGTGATAATGCAAATCAATTCCATGTAAATAATGGGAACCTGGAAAGAAAGTCTGGATCAATCTTTTTTCTCAAAACTGACTTTTAAAAGAACTTAGAGTCAAGTCAAGAATTTTAGAAGTCAGTGAAGGCAGAAGACTCAGAATACAGAAAGTGACCAACAAAACCTGACAATTCAAAGGTATTTCCTCTGACAGAACTGTTGGCTTCATTCTTTTCTCTTTTAAATTAGGAACCAATCCACTCATGTCATTGAAGTTATACTAATAAAAAAAAAAAAAAAATTGACCTTTCAATTGGCTTCCAATTGGACCTTAAATTACGTAATTTATTGGTCCAGGGAAACGATCACCTGTCTTTTGATTAACCCATCTAAAGGATAAATAATACCTCATATTACAGTTCAAGGAAAGAGGAAAGAAAATGAAAACAAAACCGAAAACATTCTGCATTTATTAGGAATTTGGACATCAGCTCTGATTTTAGTTTCAGATAATAATATGGAGGTCAGAGACTTTATAGTTAGATAGGTCAGATAAAAGATGAAGTTCCTAGACATATAAACAAGTTATTTAAGGGTAACATATTCCTGTGTACCCACTTGGTAACTACAAAAGTTCATACCACTGGTCCATTCATGCATCATTACTCCCTTTGACTCTCTTTCTGAAGGCCTGATTTGTTAAAGTACATCATTCATAGCTGTGTTGAGGTACACATGTGGGCTCCACAACACAGTCAGGAAGACCATATTTTGTGAGCTTGCTGCTTTTCAAGGTATTTTCTTCCACATACAGAGAGCATCTTTGTATTTAAACCCATGATGTATCCAGAGAAGTTACCGAGCTGCTCCATACATAACACATTCTTCACTGCCTTTCAGCAGTGAGAGAAAAACCTGAGCCTGTGGGATTAGAAACACTTGCCCCAGACTCTCACACCACTCTCCTCCTAAAAATATCTGTGCACACAGGAACTGCTCCAATAGGAACAGCTGCAATTCCTCATGTTGTGGGACTCTGGACCACTGAAAACCAGTTGATATTTCTCATTTGTTCCTGAATTCACAATGCAAGAGGAAAGAAAAAAGTCTAATCAAAAGTTAACAGCTAAAACTCAGTAAAAGTGGATAAATTTCTCTTCCATCTACCCACACATAGCAGCAAAGAAGTGCCATAATGTCAGAAGTCACACACCATTTTAAAAATAAAGGAGTACATGAGTCATGACAGCTGTGACAGACATTTTCACTTGTACTTGATGAAGAATTAAAAGGCTGAATATGTGGGTGTTTGAGTGTTTAATTCATATTCTTTTTTTTTTTTAAGATGATTTTTTCAAACTATTTAATACTCTAAAAAAATGTATTGTCCACAGAGTGTACAAACTGGAGTACACAGCAACCACAGACACCTCACAAATAACTGCATTCTTGACAGGACACATAAGAATATAATCAGAAGTAAGGCCTATAGGAGGAGAAATAAGTTGCATATTGTCAAAGAAACAAACATTTTGGTTAGAACTTCTGCTGCCAATCCTTGAAGTATCACTTTCAGGGGAAGTATTCTAAAATCAAAGATCAGAAGAGCTACAAGTTTGGGTGCTTTTCACGGTTTCCAGGCATATTCATTCCGGCTTGCATCTTAATATCTATGATCCTTAAGCTCTAGTGCATGCAAATATAATTCTTTTCAAAATCATATAGTTCAGTGACTTTATTTTGATAGTTACTTTCATAGATTTCTGTATTTGAAACAGTCTGACATTTTTTACAGCTTACCCAATTTCTGCTTCTCCACTGCAGTCCCAAATGAATCACATTGAAGGGAAGCATTTACTTTGTCTTCTGTCAGGAAAGATCTCATCTGATTGCAGCTCTAAATAAGATCAGATCTGGCAAAATAAAATCAGTTGGCAAGACCATTTTACCTGTTAGGATGGAAAAAAAAAAAAAAAAAAGGTAAATCCATAACATAAAGTCATCTCTAAAGTTTGCTGGATATTATATGGAGACTACAGATGAATCATGATGGACCAACTGTATGTTACATTTAGAACACCAAGATATTACATTTAAATAAGTCTGGTTAATCCTATTTCAGGTTGGACTTTAGAAAGTGGTAAACTACCACTTTTATCTTCAGGCAATCCTTGATAAAACCTTTATTACATAAGCAAACAAAACAGTTAAAACTCAAAAAACGCATTAGCTGGCAGGAAGAACAATTATACATATTTTATTCCTTTTCTTATGTAGAGTACTCAAAAGTTCCTCTTTTGTGGAAACTCTGAGGTTTTAATTGGAATACAATAAAATACTTAAAAGAGACAGTAACTTAATTTTATTATATTCTGGAGGTGCCAAAGGGCAAAAAAAGGATTTTTTGCTATCAAAATCAGTTTCACTGAAACAACTATTATTTGGATATTTTTTCTATTGTAACATATTGTAAGTTCAACAAGTACACTGTAATATCTCAGAATAGATCCCTGTGACCCATTCGGTTTTCAAGTATTATCTTCCTGGTGAATACCTCCATTTCATATTCTCTTAATCTCAAAATGTGCTACTTTGTATTTTTCTGCTTTATCTCTCACCTATGTGAACTTATTTTTACTACATTTTACCAAATTTCATAGATCTTATTTATTTTTCTGCCCTTACATTTAATTGCAACATTTTAATTTTGTATAATTTTCAAATATTAACTCATATTAATGTTGCTTAGATGAATAAAAGTGTTAAACAGAATTAAATAGCCTATGTCTATAAAGTAAAGCTCCATGTTTATCAAATTACTCCATTCTAGTGCTAATGTGATTGAAGAGCAATATCAAATCTCCTACATTTCAATTCTAAAATGGAGGAGTTGACAGATCCAGAAAAAGCAAAGCAAATTCAGATCCAGGACAGTAAGCAATGAACTCAGATTATCCACTATTACTATTTTTTCAATACATCTTGGTGAAATACAGTCATTCCCTGCCCAAGCACCAACCCATAAAGATTTTACCTCCAGCCCAGCTAAGAAGAAAGAGCCATGACGTTTCCAAGGACAAGGGGGTAGTTTCAGAGAGCTGGTTGTGCACAGATGCAGCAATCGGGCCCCCATCCATGTTCTAGACAAAGCAGCCCACAACAGAAGAAAGAATTATACATGTGCCTGGTTTTGAGCTTAGTTACGTTAATAATACATTATCACACTAGCAATTGTTGGCATATGCTTTTCAGAAAACAATGTTATTACACATGGCTTTACAAAGAATTGAAAAGAGAAAAAGTTTCCTTCTGAGACTGTAAATTGATTGCAAAATATTCAGCCAATATTCTGCCTTTATATATACGGCTGTTTTACTTAACATACTGAGATAATAAATGTCTTCAGCTCAACTTCATACAAACATGACTTTACCTTTGGAAACAAAAATTAAAAAGTAAATTAAAACTATCCCACAGAAGCACAGTGGTGTTTGAACATCAATTTGACAGGTACTGTAATTTCCCTGTTTAGAGGTTCTGAATGTCATACAGGATTATACTGCTGCAACACTATAAGAATTCTCACAGATGTCATCTGAAAAAGGAAAGTTTTAGTACAAAGCAAAGATGCCACTGGAAGATGGATGCAGTCTGATGAATTTGAAAGATGTCCCAAAACTATGACCTCGACTTATTTCTGTTTAACATACATATATTATTACCAAAGCAGTAACAAACAGGAAAGTTAACTCTTTAAGAGATTCACTGTAAGCAGTGCTATGTCATCAACACACATTTGTATGCAAGTGACTAGAATCAAAACATATTTAGTTCTAATCTATGCCTTCGTTACTATTTTATGTCTAGGGAAAAGATGACAGACTTGTGCACTACAGTCTTTGCAGATCTTTCTGTAATAGAAGCCATGAATGCAAAAGATGACACACATTTTATTAATCTTCTCTCAACACCTTATTTTATAATGTATTCAGAGTTTTGCTATTCCATATTTAAATAGTAAAAAATTATTTGGGCAGTGATGAAGGGCTGGGGGTGGTGGTGGGAGAGCTGCAAGCTTCTTGTTCTTTCCACTGAGATTTTTCCTTCTCATTCTGCTTGATAGTGTGCCAAGAGAGAAACTCATAAAGACACAAGCATTTCCTTCTTCTGCAGCATATCTCACTATTGAGGGAATAGGTCTTTGACTAAATTAATCTTCATCCTAAGAATACTCACCACTGATGGCTATCAAAATTTTTAGAATCTAGTATATACATACATACATACATACATACATATATATTCATCCCATTTATTATTTCCAGAAATTTGTGCCTCATGTTAAACCTCATGTCTGAACTTGCCATAGAGAGCACAGTAAATCCACAGGCTTTGTGATTCCAAAAGAGCCCAGGAAAAGATGACAACTTCTCTCCATCAAAGGTCTCTTGCAGCAGAAAGCAGCAGGCCATTTTTAAACAGCACAGCTCCCTGTGACCACAACTGGTGATCTGCTTTGCAAGCTGGCATTCTCCATCCTAACACAAAAAGCAAAGCTAGAAGTCCATCCTTATACTTACAGTCTCTTCCAGGAATCTGGAAAGTTATCTGAGAGATTCTACTTTCTCGTTCAGAGATAAACCTCTCATTCTACGAGCAAAGGATCGCAAGCCCTGGAAAATGGGGTCTTAAGGATCTTGGGAGAGCCTGTGAATTCACTCACAACAATCATGTAAACAAAAGAGGGTTTTAAAAATGAGATGCCCATACTTTTTCAATTCACCTTTCCTTAATGAACCCATTATCTTAGACAAGTATGCATCCATAGCTGACTAATGTACACAGGCATACACAAACCTATCAACTGCTTCAAGACTGATAAAAAAGGATAACATAAATGTAGGATTTTTGCCTCCTTTTAAAAAGCTAAAAGGGATCCTTGGAGACATATGAGCCATACACACCTAGATAGACCAATAGACTTGTTGACTAGTTAGATAATATTCCTAATTCTTTATTTTTTTTTCTTGCAGGATTGGGACAAAAGCACTGTTTAAAACAACACCAAACTTTGTTGAAATGCAGAATATAATGGCAGTTACAATTGATCATGCTTCTATATTTTTAAAATATAGGTCTTACATATTAAAATAATGTTGGTTCACATTAAAAGCAACAGTTTGGGATTTTTCCATGTAAATTTTCTTTCTGAAATTGTCTAAACTTTGCTAAGGATTGAAAGCTTTTAAAAATTCATTTTTTTTAATTACTTGTGGGAATAAATTATGATTCTCTATCACATTTCCTTATAAAGTAGGCATATGGTAAAATTAATATGGTGCAAATGAAACCCGTCAAGATTTAGAATAAATTCTAAGAGAAACAAAAGTGAATGAACATGTAAATTAGCTTCTAGTGTTTCAATCCCTTGTAAATTAAGAATGGAACAGACATTTGGAAGATTATTTAGGAAACACGCTCTTCTGTATGAACTTCACTTAAAATCAACAGTCGCTGTAGACGACCTTCCAAAGTCCTTAATCATGGACATGAAGGGACTATCCTTTTAAGAGGCTGCAGTACTGTTCAAAGAGAAAAGAGTGGAACTTCTCTGAATAAGCACTTGGTCATTGATAATAATTTGAATTTTAGACTAACAATGCCAGAAGAGAATCTACTGAATCTCTTAAATCTTTTCCACAAAGCTCAAAGAGCGAAAGTATTGTGAAATGTTCTTTTTCTCTTCTTTTTCTCCTTCCTTCCTTCCTTCCTTCCTTCCTTCCTTCCTTCCTTCCTTCCTTCCTTCCTTCCTTCCTTCCTTCCTTCCTTCCTTCCTTCCTTCCTTCCTTCCTTCCTTCCTTCCTTCCTTCCTTCCTTCCTTCCTTCCTTCCTTCCTTCCTTCCTTCCTTCCTTCCTTCCTTCCTTCCTTCCTTCCTTCCTTCCTTCCTTCCTTCCTTCCTTCTTCCTTCCTTCCTTCCTTCCTTCCTTCCTTCCTTCCTTCCTTCCTTCCTTCCTTCCTTCCTTCCTTCCTTCCTTCCTTCCTTCCCTCTTTTAAAAGGCACATTTACATCAGTCTGGTGAACTTTGCTCTGACACCACTTGAAGTCCTGAACAAAAGAAGAGTTGATTGAAATTGGTTTAGAAATATTGTTCTACATTTTCAAGAATCAGGAAAGACTAGAACAGAAAGCTGATCACATATCCTCTAGATATCTGAAAAGTATATTTATACTTCTTTTTCCTACTGTAATTTTCTTTTAGGACACTAAAATCAGAAAAGAACTTCCCTGCAGCATTCAGGTGTTGGGACAGCTTATGTGCGCACTGTTACTCAGCCATAATGCTTTTCCCAAAAGAAAACTCATGCCAGCTTTCTTGCAGACACTCTACAGATTCTTGGACTGGTCAGAGAGAAAAACTAGGCTTTAGGGTCCTGTCATATTACCAACAGGTTTGTAAGACTTTTTCTAAAGTAATAATTTCTCTGGAATAAGGACAAGCCACTACAGAGACATATCCCAAAAGATTAATGGAGACTTTTGGGCCACAAATCATAAGACTTGCACCATATCAGGTTCATCTAATAATTCACTATTTAGAAACAGGACAGAGCAAGACTAATTGCCTTATAATATTTAACAGTTAATACAAATAATATTCTACTACATCAAAGGTGAATTCCTACAGCAGTTAAGTATACAAATTACTTCTAATAAAGTGGTAAATTTTCTGTAGTGTATAAATGCAATCATATTAAACTCAAATCAGTGAAATGCTAATTCACTTTTTAATGAGTTCCTTTCCTATTTCATATTTTTAAGCAACTTTCAACTGGTTTGGTTAAGCATAGTTAATAAGATGAAAAGAGTGGGTTTTTAATTAAGTCAGACAAAATATTCCATTGTATATATGCAAGTTTTTAAGGCAGTGTAAAGTATGATTAGAATTCAGGTTTCATTCTATTTCATCTTCTTGTGAGCTCTGGAATTTGAATACAGCTATCAGAGACTGTGGAGGAGAGGTATCTTATTCTCCTCTCTGAAATTTTTGTTTCTGAGGAAAGCTCTTTGTTTTCCTTTTGGACATGACTGCATTATTATTGGCCAGGACATATTCTTCTTTCTAATCCATGAGAAAGTAGAATGACTGCAACTCTTAAGCCTGGTTATCCCACAAAACCTAAATGGGTCATTATGAACTTCTGCTGTGACTCTCACGTTGTACAAAAGGGACAGAAGAAAAATTTTGAGGTCCCTTTAAGATGCCTGTCCTAATTAATAGATACTCTGAACAAAAATTTATTTCATAGATACTCTGAACAAAAATTTATTTAGGAATAATAACTTATACCCTTAAGTACCTCCACCTGTTTGCTGTCTGCAAGCCTGCATGAAAATTGGCCAGATTCTGCTAAAATTTAAAGTTGATTTCAATGGAATGTGTGATTATATGGCCATTATCAGTCTAGAGAGGAGAAATACATGCTCATTAATTTCCATTCCATAAACACAAAAATATCTTTTTTCATATGTCATTCAGATCAGGCATCAGAAGAATATCTACTCTTGATTTTCTCTGAACTCTGGTCCTGGTCCACTACAGGAATTACATTGTGCAAGGGAGCAGTAACTCACTCTTTTTTGTTAGGTTACTGCTCGTTGCCAGCTATCAGAGGATTCTCTAGAGAGAATAAAGTTGGGGAATCAGAAAGACCTGACAGTGTGCAGAGTCTTCCTTTTCTCCAGCATAACTGAGTTGATTAATTATTCAAAATAAAATGTAATACTTTAGAGTGAAAACTTATTTTTCCACATTCCTGATTTTCTCATGCCATTTGTGTATGAAGGTTTAGAATCACTGATTCATTTACATTATAGATCTTACTCATATTTCACTGCTGTTGGACCTGAATCTGAAGTCCTCCCTAGTCACCCGTTAAAGATTTTAATGATTTGGAGTTTGAATGAAGATCATTATATCATATCCCACATTACATGCAGGTAATAAAATTCTTTTCCTTCTTTGATTTTAGTTGAATACAATCTTTTAAGTGAAACTCAATATCAGAATGCCTTGCTTTGTCTAAATAGTAAACATGGCCTATTATTTGTCAATTTTATTGACATTAAAAGTTTCTTTGTTACATAAACTCATCATTGCTTCATTTTCTTGCTTTCAAGCAAATGATCAAAATATTTTGGAATATCTTCAAAACTTGGAATATTTTTTCCTGCAAGATGGGAGTCAGGATTCATGGTTTCTTTACATGGCAACTTAATTTTTCATGCCAGGAAATATCAGTATTTTCACTGATTTTAAGCTTCCTGCCTCCTTCAATTCTCATAAAACAGTTTAAAAATCTTCTTCAGGCCTAAAAATATTAGTATTTATTTGGTTTATATACTCATCTAATTCTGAAAAGAGAGATGTCTTGCAACACTATTGGCATAATGTCCCCACCATTTGTAGAATCCCTAAAAATCATCATAAGAAGCTCTTTAGAAGTGGCCCTTTCTCCTCCCCCAGCCAGCTGGCCCCTAGCATCTGTCTCAGGAGCACCGTGGCTGAGTGTTTGGGTGGCACTCTGGAGTCAGCAAGCAGGTGAGCTAATGTGCTCCAGAGCATCTGCAAAGTATTTGTCAATCAGATCTTCTGTTACCTAATACTTTTAGCTAAACCTC